GTGCAGAAGTTCTTCACTCTTGTTCTCTCTTGTAGTCATGCTGGAGGGATACCTTTGGCAAATATAGAAAAGTCAACCACTCATGTGACGTCATGTTGGGGCAAAATTGCTTAAGAATGTGAGAATGAAAATAAGGGCATCGGGATGTGGAATCTGTGCTTCAATCATATGTGAAGGAGAAACCAGGATTCTACTTAGTTGGATTTTCATACAACTGAATTTGTTAATTTACAATATCTTATTCTAGGTATGCAATATATAACACCCAATGATATACAGATAGCATATGCCTCTAGTCTTCCTAGGAAGCAGCGTTGTCTTATAATAAGAAGCATACAATCACAAATTTCTCAGAAACTATGTAGTTTCTTTTAGAAAGAGGATCAGGCTTCACATTGCAATCTCTAAGGAACTCAGGATCTTGCTCAGGGATACTCTTCCACCAAATGCAATTGAAAGAGTCAGAGCACCATCCGTAGTGTGGGGGCACTAGCTTTGTAAGATGAATTGCTAAATGGTCTTATTAATAAAAACCTGGAGCCAGATATTGGGGTGAAAACTGAGAGATCAGAAAGGCAGAAAGAAGCCAGCCATGTTCTTAGCACTTGGAAATCGTCAGCCAAAGAGATCTACTTCCTGTATACCTTTCTGTTCTGCATTTCACTTCCTCTCTCAGCCTAGTTACATCACTTCCTGTCTTTCTGTACTGATCTCCAGACCTCTTTGTTTAGTACTGGGATTAAAGGCATGTGTCACCATGCCTAGGTCTGTTCCTAGTGCAGCCTTGAACTCACAGAGATCCAGATGGATCTCTGCCTCCTGAATGTTAGGATTAAAGGTGTGTGCTACCATTGCCTGAATTCTATGTTTACTATAGTGGTTGGCTTTTTCCTCTAATTCTCAGATAAGCTTTTTAGGGTACACAATACATTGGGGGACACGATATATCACTACATTTCTCCCTTTTTGTCTAAAATTAAAGTTAAAAATTATAACTAATATAAGAAAACTATACACAATAAGTACAATAACTATATACAATATATACAAGCAATAAATACATCAACAATGTCTAGTTAATTTGCATTTGACAAATTCAGAGAAAATATTCCATTATCTATCCTATTTTTGTGAATCCAAAGGATTGTAGCTAATTTATCTTCTAATTTGCATAACCAAAACTATCTTTTGAAGTCTTTCAAACTTAAACACTTTACACCTCTTTAGTGAGTTTCTTTTCTGAATTTCTTAACAAGGAAAACAATTACTGTCTAATCTTCAATTAGACCTGAGAAGGAAATAATATTACCTGAGTAAGGAGGAAATGCAAACAAGTGACTTCCAAAAATTTTGAGTTATGACAGAAACAGCCGACTGCCTGGACAGTCCCCCTGAGGTATCTCTGCAATGTTCAGCCTACAGGCTTAGCATATCTGATAGACTCATCTGTGAAGCAGGATTTTCTAAAGGGCCTTCTTAACTGTCTTGGCAAGGATCGGCAGTCCTTTGTTTTGTGTCCTGCTTTTCCATTTTGGACAGCATACTGTCAGTAGTCCATTTGAGGCTACTTTCTTGCCCAGTAGCTAACTTTTCCACAATGAAAGTAAACTACATATGGAGTTTCTTCAGTGCCCATTGTCTTCTCTGAAGCATATTGGTGCTGCCAGGAGCAGATATGTCTCATTGTCATAAAAAAAGAAAAAAAAAATCTATGTTATTAAAACAACTTAAATGCCATATTCTGCAGATCTCCGAAGTGTCTGAAGATGACCTGTCCATCTAAAATAGATCTCTGCTTGACCTTAAAAACACACCTAATATGACTACAAATTCTATTGTTATGACTAACTACTAACTTACAATTCTTTTTATCCTAAATAGTTGGTAATAACTTTTAAGGATTAGCAAATTGCATTACATTGTTAAATGAACTGTATAGGTACAATACCTTGAACAAGATTAGAAATATATGAATAATATATTCTAACAAAATCGATCTCAAATTGGTATCAATATACATAATTTGTATACAATATACAAAAATCTAATCCAATGTAAAATATTTAAAAGTGGCATTTGCCTTCTAAAAGTAGATTCAATAATCTACTTTTTTATGTTATCACATCCATATTCTCTCTCTTTTATTTTTAGAGTAGATTCAATAATCTACCCTTTATTCTATCATTTCTATGTCTTTTTTCCAGAGTAGTTTCAATAATCTACCTCTTATCTATATCCTTTTTTTTTTTCAAACAAGAACCTTAAATCTAATTGCCTTTGTTTAGCCTTTTTTCTGGCCATTAACAATAACAACTTGTAACCAACCATTCTAAACAATGACAGTTAGCCCCCCCATTTTGGGAATGTGGGCTTTGTGTTCTTAAAATTACTTCCTGCTGTCTGGGGGCAAAGGCATCTTTAAGGGATCCTGAAAAGAAGAATTTTGAGATAATCGTCAAGTCCTGCGAGAGTTAGCTGTATCATTGTTGTCTCTGCACAATGCAAAAATGCAGGGCTTGTCTCAAGTCCTTGCTCGAATAGTCTGTGAGGCTGAATCATCTCAGCTAGCCATCTCCAAATTGTCCTGAGCAGTTTATAGTCCAAAGCTGATCTTGGGTAGTATTTGTCAGCTTAATAGTATTATCATCATCCTGATGGAATCGTCATTGTGGAGCCCCATTATCTTTTTGGAGACTTCAAATTTGCTGTTAGGCATGGTCATGATTCCCTGCATAAAACTGACAGAGACTCAAACGTGAAAACATCTACAGACAACTAGATGAAGCCTTTTCTCTAGAATTAGTTAGTACTCTACATGACCATTAATTTCATGACAAAAGTTAAAAATATATATATTAATCTTATAAGTTTTGATATAAAATTCATACCTTAAGAAAGTTTTAAAGAATCAAAATAGAACCAAAGAATTATAAGATTAGTGGCAATAGAATAATCCCTTAATTTTTTGGTTCTATTTTTTTGCTTGTTAAAATTATATAATTTCTTCCTAAGTACTGTACAGGTTTTGCTATCTACTGCATAAGCAACCCTTTCTGACTTCCCTACAGGGTATCCCCAAGACTGCTCAGAGAACAGTTATGTCAGGTGAAATCAATTAGTGCTAATTAGCAGACATTCATTTTTTTAACCCACCTGATCAGATCAGATGAGTGGTTTAAAGGTATGAGAACTGTGGTGAGGAGCCCTTTGTCAGAGTTCTGGAGAGTAAATGATCTAATTAGTGAGCCCGCTTTGGCTGCCACAGTTAGAGAAGCCCCCAACCTTTCCTTGGTGATGATTTTCCACCTTATTATTTCACAGAACTCACTCTCATCTGGTTCCATTAACTGTATGCTTACCTTGTGGTGTCTGATTCTGTTTAAGGTTTTATCGTTTGCTAGGTGAAAGGGTCAAGTGATTTTGGCCTGTTAGTTTTTTTCCCACACTGGGTAAAGAGGATGTAAGAGGGAGTTCAGAAAGATGTCTGAAATTGGAGAGCAGGGAGATATTTTGCTCTAGGAAATGTCACTTAAAGTGCCACTGCATCAGGCTCTAGATGAGCTCTAAGTCTCTACTGGGAGCTAATGCAAACATTTGAGATTCTGAATGCATTCTGTTTTTCTGAGATGCAGATATTTAATGATGAAGTTTTTAATTGGTTGATTTAATACACTAGATATTTTATGTCAAAAATTCAAAGATTAATCACATTTTTTGTTAAATAAAGAGAATAGTGAAGCCTTAAAAATTTTAAATGAAACCATTTTTGTACTAATGTTGGGTCTGTGCTCTTAGATCTTTCAGAAAGAATATCTGTTATTTGTTCACTGAAAAAAGTGAGGATTTATGCAAATTTTTGGATCATTTACCCATTCTTTTTACTTTTCCACATGATATAACCATATTAACATCTTGGAAAAGCCATATTTTTTATATAACTACATGTACAAAAACTATCTGGGGAATCAAGAATACCCTGAAGTTCACCCATAAACTGCACCATGAGTACCCTGGTTGCAGGTGAGTAAGGACTCTCAGAGTGGACAGTAGCTATTGTGTTTATTTGGTATGTAAAATGAATAGAAAATCTCTCAATAATAATAACAAAATAAAAAATAGTTTCACCTTTGGAAGCTAGGAAAAAAAGAGGAGGAGGAAATTCAATCCAAATTAATAAGAGGAAAATAAAAGCATGAAATCCATACAAAGATCAGAAGAATTGGAGAAACAACATGACAGAAAATCTGTAAAAGCTGAGCTGGCTTCTGTGAGCAATAAAATCCGTAAAATCCTAGCCTGGATGACTGCTAACATTTGAATATGAAATGTCCTACATAGGCTCATGATTTTGATCTTCAGTCACCAGTTTGTCCTGTTATTTGGAGGGAATGGAACCTCTAGGAAGTGGGGGTTGGCTGGTGGGAAGGAGGTCACTCGCTGTGGATCTTTGAAGGTTATAATAGTCCTGGGTTTAGTCATGCTCTGTATTTCCTTGTTTGCCACCATGGATGGTGAGCCTCTGTCACAAGTTTTCATCACCATGATCTCTACCATGCTCCCTGCAATAAGATGGACTGAAAGCTGAACTGTGAATGGAAGTAAACTGTCCTTTCCATAAGAGGTCCTGTCAGGTAACGGTCAAAATGACATGGAAATAACTAACATAACTTCTAAATAACTAGCATAGCTTTCATATTCAAACCAACAAAAACATTGCAGGAAAGAAATGCTATAGCCCAGTATCTCTTACAAATAAGTGTAAAAGTATTTGAAAAAGTACTAATATATTGAATGCAGTACTGTGTATAGTGAAATGTATATTATGATCACATGGAATTTTTCCAGCCATACAACTCTGATCCATAGTTTGAAAATCAATGATTGCCATACCTCATATCAATAGCCCAGTAAAGAAAAACTGTATTGATTTATTAGTATTCATTTGTGTGTGTGTGTGTGTGAGAGAGAGAGAGAGAGAGAGAGAGAGAGAGAGAGAGAGAGAGAGAGAGATGGGGTGGGGTCCTGTGCATGACTTGAGTGTGGTGGTCAAAGACAAATTTGTGGAGTCAGTTCTCTCCTTGAATTTTACACAGGTCCCAGAGGTTGAGCTCCAGCTCCTTGGACAGTACCTTTTCCTGCTGAGCCAACTTGCTAGCCATGAAGAACAATATTTTCAGATAGGTAAATCCTGGGAAGTACATTTCATAAAGTCTGGTACCCATTCATAGAAAAATAATACAAACACTAAGCTCTGAGAAAAGTGGAATCCAAGGGACGAGTCTTAACAAGGAGCAGCTACAAATATCTTGAAAAAAAGTGTCTTACTTATGTGGAGAAACTGTATGATTCTTCCCTAAGTTTGAGAGTGATGCTGCATGCTGTCACAACTCCTACGCAACACCATGCTGCATCTTATTTAATACACCCAGAAAGGGAAGGGCAGAAAAGAATACACAGATTGGTAAATTAGAAATAAAACTGATTTCTTTGTGAATGATTGAATGTGGGACTTAAAAGTAAGTAAGTTAATTTTAAAAATAAAGTATCAGTACAGTGAATATTGAGTTCAAAATATTAACAAACTTATACTCATTTAAAAATATTTTGAAAAGTTCATATATATGTATAATACATTTGATCATATTCATCCTCTGTTTCCCTCTCTTTCTCCTTTCCACTTTCTCTGAATTGCTTCCTTTTCCCAACATGTCTTACTGCTTTCATGTCTGGGCACAACCTTGTTGAAAAACACATACTCATTTATTTCTCTCTCTCTCTCTCTCTCTCTCTTACTCTCTCTCTCTCTCTCTCTCTCTCTCTCTCACATCCCAGCCTCAGTTTTACCTCCCTCCCCTCCTCCTAGCCCCCCCCACTGTTGCTGCCCCCCCATCGACTTCTCCATTTCTATTCAGAAAACAGGTGGCCTCCCATGGATGTCAACAAAACATAACATGACTTATCAAGTTGCAGTAAGAGTAAGCACCTTGCCTTGTACTAAGACTGTACAAGGCAACCCAATATGAGGAGTAGGGTCCAAAATGCCAGTAAGTGGGTCAGAGACAGTCACTGCTCACACTGTCAGGAGTCCCACAAGAAGACCAAGGTATACAACTGTAACATATATGCACAGGGCATATATCAGTCCCATGCAGGTTCCCTGGTTGTTGGTTCAGTCTCTATGAGCCCAGGTTAGTTGTTTTCTTGTGCTGTCCTTGTCCCTCTGGCTCTTACAATCCTTTCTTTCTTCAGCAGGATTCCCCAAGCTCAGACAAATGTTTTATCTCATTTCTGTCTTTATATAATACTAACATTTCCTTCCAAAATTTATAGAAGCTACTTTGACTATTTCCTCAAAAATTATTAGGATGCTACTTGGTATGTATATAAGCGTGTGTGTGTGTGTGTGTGTGTGTGTGTGTGTGTGTGTGTGTGTGTGCATTTATACATGTACATTCAATTTCCTTTAAATAAAGAGAGTGCTGTCTAATTAGTAGAGATGAACATTCAGGAGCACATCCTCTCCATAACTCCTGACACTTGCAAAATGCTTAAAATCTGATAGTCAAACAATTTTGGCATTACTTAAGTGCCAAATTTAGACTGTTAAAATTGAATATAGCAGGAACTAATTTGAATCTCTTTGAATAGGAAAAGGAAGATTTATGGGGAACACAGAGGAAAACAGCTGAACCACAGGAAGGGGAGTAAATGCATAATTGAAATGCTCTGCATTCCATGATCACTGTCCTGTGAGTCCCACATGATTCTTTGGCTCTGTAGACCTCCTGATTATTTTCAGTTCATGTGTGGGATCAGTGATGCTTTTTTTCTATGGAAATACTGGGCAGAGATGAATTAGTTCTTCCATGAGTCTTGGCTATTAGACAAAATAAAAATGCCCACTACACACAAAAGTAATGCCCCCCCCTTACCAAGAAAACAGCCCCCTGTGACACCAGTGACCACTGGGGTCATAAGCCCACCTTGCACTGATTGGGAACAGACAGAAGACATCCTGAGAGCGAGAATCCCTGAGACACAAGTCAAGTTCCACAGAGAAGCTCAATGTGTCAAAAGCTCTGAACCTGATGGAGTCAAGCAGACTTCTTCCAGGAGACAGAAATTCTGGGGCTCAGGGGGAGAGAACAAAGCAAAGAGGAAGATCTATCTTTGACTGCTTCAGCAGGAGCACTTGGAAGGAGGGAACAGGGACCCTAGGAGGCAGGAGGGTCTGCTGGGCTGCAGACTGGGGAGGGGCTGTGGCTTCCTCCATCCTGCCAGAAGCCCTTTGTGATGAGGAGACCATAGCTTTGTGATGTGGGCCTGAGCCCTCCTGACAAGCCTCAAGCTGTACCCTCAGGACTGAGTGGCTTGAGAGCTGCAGTGCGATTCAGAAGATGGAGAGTTCTCTCCTTTGGCTGAAAAGCCTTTGTGACTCCTGGATGAGCCTCAGGTCCATTTTCACAGAAATGGATGTGATCTTCGGAGTTATGTGTGGAGTGGGGTTCTTCTTCCTACTGATGCCCTTCCTGAAGACATACCCAGTATCGCCACCACCTGGGAGTAGAAAGAATACCCCAAAGGTGAGGAGGAGGAGGAAGAAGAGGCAGGTCAAGACCAGGAAGAAAAATGCTTCTGCAAAAGGTTGCAGAGATTGCAGAAAGAATGTGGAAGACACTCAGAATGCTTCACAACCTGCAGAAATCCCCATCAATAATCCTTTACCGGACTCCACACCACATGCCTTTTGGAACTCTAGTAAGAAACTGTATCAGCTTCCCCTCTCTCAGCTACTGTCTTACCTCAAGGTCTTGGAGGATCTTATGCAGAGGAAATTTAGCCAGACTTTCTGGAGCATGTCCTCTGTGTTCTCTGAGTCAGTGGTGGCTACTGCTTGGGTCTCCAGGAGATCTTCCTCTGCAGCAACCAAAACTTCACCATTCTGTAATACACATGGCCCTTCCCCAGCTCTACCTCTGGGCCAAGGACCTCCACAGACTTCTCAGGCCCAGCCATTGCCCGACCAGCTTGTGACATCAAGCCTGGCAGATGTGACGGAGGTCCAGACACTAGATGACCTCCTAAGCTCTATACCAAACCAAGCATTTTCTGCATCCATAAGTGGGGTCTATGGAACAACATGTCGTGACAGTGAGATGAAAGTATTGGCATCCCTCCCGACTGAAAACTGGTCCTGGCAGCAAGATCAGGGGTCAAAAGATACCATAGGCTCTAATGTCCAAAAACATCAAGCAGCCATTAGCCAGCCCACTCACAACTTGCCCAGGGACATCCCACCTGCTGAAGCTATCAGGTCAGCCTCCATCGCTCCTGAGCATTGTCAGATCCTCCAGCAACTTGAGGAGCCACACAGTGAATACAGCATGTCCAAGGTGAGAGAACAAGGTCCCCCCTTCAAGTTCCTCCCATCCCAGGAACTGATGCAGCTGCAGGGACATTTACCAGCCAACAGTCATTGCCAGTCCAAGAACAAGCCTGAACTCTCGCAGCCTGATCAGCCCTTCATCCTCGACTCCAAAGGCTGCAAATTGAGTCAGATGATGAGGTCTGTGCCCTTGGGGATGCCCTTAAAGAGGGGCCCAGCAAAATGTAATGTACATGACCCCATCAAGGAAGGCCCCAGTTTTAGGGCCAAAGACTTGCCTTGCACTTCAAGCAGCACCCCTGGGCAGGGTCTGGGACCCAGAAATCCTGCAATGAGGACAGATCAGCTGTCCCGTGTGAACACCACCCAGGAGCTTTCCTTCCTTGACCTAAAAACTCAAAAGAAGCTGGACTCAAGCATCAAACAGCTTCGTGTGAAACACAGATGGAAATCTTATCTACAGACTCTTGTGTCAAGTGATCTCACCCAACCAGGGGTTCCAGCCTCATTCCTTCCCCAGCCTGTGTATCCCACCTCACCCTCCTCTGTTTCTAAGTCAGAGGACTGTCTGAAGACTGCCACAATCTTGGAAAAATTGCATCACCAAGATCCAGGAGGGACAAGGATAGAAACTGTATCAGCTTCCAGGCTGCAGAGTCCTCTGTTTGCTCAGTCACCTTCAGAGGTTCAGGATATTCAAAGAACCACTCTACCAGCTGCCAGCCAAGGGCCCCTCAAGGCCCATTCAGTTATATGGAGGAGCAACCTAATCACTGGAGCCAAAGCTTACTGCCTCCTGGCAAAAACCCAGAAGAGCAGGATCATCCGAGGGATTGGAAGAGGCAGCCTGCAACCAAGGACCAGTCCAAGAATTGTCAGGCATGAACCATGGAAGATGTTTGATAATATGGCCTCAAGACATCCCTGTTGGAGTGATACAATGGTTGAACCTGAAGTAAGGACCCCATCTTCAGTGACCAAGCAGACCAACAGAATTTTGGAGGTGATAAAAGAGACACCTTCTCCACAGAAAGTGACTTTTGGGTCCAGCAAGATTCCCAATGGCCAAAACATCAATTTCAATCTCAGAGATTTTGAATCTGTAGAGGCCAATAGAAACCAAGGCCATTTCCAAACATGTCCACAGAGCTCAAGTGGCCTAGCTCTAAAACCACAGGTGCTTAGAGAGGTTGACTTCAAATCAAACGAGCAGTCACAGTCATGGCCGGTTGGGCTCCTTCCAGATGGTCAAAGTGCTGTGTGCCCCACCACAGTCAGTTTGCCTACACAGCACTCAGTTCACAGATTCCAGAACAGATCCAAAAATCCCAAGACTTCTCAGGGCCTAGATGATGTATTCAAGAGGAGAAATCACCGCAAAAAGACTCAGAAGCTCAGTGTCCCCAAGGATAAGATTCAAGCAAGTAATCACAAAATATTTCCTCCCAGTGAAGAGAGGAAGGATTGCATGAGATCCAGAGTCAAAAGCCAGCGAGAAAATCTTGGGAGAATGGGGCTCTCCCAAGCCCAGGGCCACAATAGCTCTACTCAGTCCAAGGATACAGTCATTACTGAGAGTCAGCCCTTCCCTGATATGCCGAGAAACAAACAGTCTCCTGAAAGAAGCTTTCTGAAGAAAATGGTAAGGAATATTCTACAATATCTCAACCTCCATGCCAAAGACAAGGAGCAGGGGGATTCTCTGAAGAATGAAAACGACCCATCATCTACTATACAGACTCAGGAGGTAGTCACAAAAGACAAACTCATCTATAATTTGGCAGCCAGAGTGCAATCTCTCATGAAAGTTATGATACAGGTCGTGATGGACAGGCTGGGCCTTGATATAGAGGACCCATCAAAGGCACAATGGTGTGAAGTGGAATCACTGACATCCCAACTGAGTTTCTCTTCCCACTCTTCTGAGGGTCTCTATGACACAAAGAAAAGCAGAAGAGTGAGAAGAATGAGCTTTGGTCCCCACACCAGTTCCAAAGGACACAACCATCCACTCAGATACAGGGGAATTGGAGACAAAGAGCAGCTGAGTGTTGATGCCCAGAAAGCCTGTGATCAACATCAGAATAGCGTGAAGAGAGAAATGGACTTCAACCAACTCCCCACCCTCAAGGGGAAGAGCCATTCATTCCTGTACAGGAGAACTGGAGACAAGCAGCAGTCAGGCACAGGTAGCAAAACGGCCTGTGACCCAGATCAAATTAAAGTGACGAGTAGAATGGGCTATTGTCCACATAACAACTCCAAGGAGCACAACCACCCATTCTTATATAGAGAAATTGGAAGCAAACAACAGTCCAGTGTTGTCCAAAGAGCCTGTGACCCACCGCAAAGTACAAAGAAAGTGATAGACTATGGTCATCTCAACAGCCTCAAGGAGAACAATCATCTGGTCATGTCCAGGGGAACTGGAGACAAGGAGGAGTCATATACTGCTGCCCAGACAGCTGGTCACCCCAAATGTAGCTTATCGGCACAGGCCGGGGTGCAGGTGTCTCAGGCCACCTTGACCTTTGCTCACTAGTAAGTCTTCCAAAAGCTATCTCATCCACCAGCCATTGTTTCCCCTCATGCTTTCCGGGTAATAAACGTTGGCTTTTTTCCTGCAAAGAAAAAAAAAATAATGCCCAGCATGCTTATTCATGAGGGAAATGCAATTCGATGCCACTTCAGAGCCACTAAAAGGACTGAAAGTATAAAAGCTGACAACAAGTAAAGTTGGTTGATGTGCACAACAGTTGAGGCTTGAGCCCACTGTACGGTGCTGGTTGGAATATAGCACTGCTTTGAAAAACTGGTGAGCGGCTTTGGTCTACAGTTTCTTATAAACTTGACTCCAAAACTAGATACATTTTTTTAAAAAAAAAGTGATTGCAGATGTCTACATGGAGATTTCTCCAAGCACATTTACAGAATCATTTTTTCTTTGGCATAATTGGTACAAACTGTGAACAGTGGATGTTCACTGAAGAGGACCTAGGAAACTGGTTACTTACTTCATGGGTTATTGCTCAGCAGTACAGAGAATGACTACTAACACATGCAGAACATTGACTCATTTAAGAAATGTGCTGAATGAGTGAAGCTGGGGATAAAGGAATCCCTATCAGTGCATGATTATGAGACTCTGACAAGCAAAGTTAAGCTTTGATGATAAAAATCATATTGGTGGTTACAAAATCACAGGGCTGATAGAAAAAACACTGAAGACATTTTCCAAAGTGATGAAATAGTGTTATATATTGACTGTGGTTTATATGACAGACAATATACTTGTGAAATCCATTAAACTCATAGTCATGATCTATGTATTTTATAGTGGGTAAATTAAATTTTGATAAAGATAAACAATAAAATAGCTTATACCATGCTAAATTGCTCATCTTAAAAATGTATAATTAAAAGATAGCAATTTTATGTGTGTAAGTTTATTAATCTAACTGGACCTCAATGTTAATATGAGATTGACTTGGAATCTTTTGAAAATAACTGATAATGAGGAGATGGGAAGAAGAGAAAGAAGAAATCAGGGGGAATATTGAAGTTTCTCGAAGTATGACTTGCAACTTCTTTGAGGCAAGAGGGCATGATACTATCACTTTATTATTGCTATATGCCTGAATGTGTATGTATATATACATATTAATAGATATGTCTTCATCTTGTGTACACCTTGTAGTTTATCATGCATGTGCATATGTGTGCACGCATGCATACGCGCACGTGTGTGTGTGTGTGTGTGTGTGTGTGTGTGTGTGTGTGTGTGCTCGTGCGTGTTCACATGTGCAAGCTGGCTGTGTTTATTAATGAACTGTTAACCTGTTAACACTTGTCTGGGCACCCATGCAGTCATTACATGTTAAAGACACCAGTTTTGCCGTTCTAAGTTGAAAGGGTGATTGATTTACAATTGGGTTCGAGCAATGTGTCAGAATCAATTGCTTTTACATGCACCATAATATGCATGGGTATTTTACAGTAGTCTTCTGTGAATCTAGGTCTGATTGTCTCATGCAAAAATTACTATCATTTTGAAAAAAATCATAAAACTTGTCTTCACTCAGAATATAGCCTTTTAGTGCTATATTTTGTGTAGAAGCAGGAATAAATTTACATGAGTTTTGAGTAAATCCTTCTCTGATGGTAAGATAGCCTGCTGTTATAATACATGTGTAGGTAAATGTTGAGAATACGTTGTAGAGATGTGTGGGATTATTGAGAAACTGTAAGTAGCAAATAGAGAATTAACTAGAAAATAAGTTTGACATGGTTTCATGAGCTGTAGAGAAAAGTTGAGAGACTGGATTCTGGGACCATGAAAAAGAGAAAATGTATATCATTTAAGCACAGTTCCATGGCCTTTGCCTGCTGTGGGTCAGTAATGACTCTCACCAGAGCTCTGAGAAGAGACCCTAATCATAGGCCATGAAATGACCACTCTGGTCGTTGCTGAAGCAGATCTCTCTCCTTCTAAGATCGCCTGCTCTATGGCTGAGTGAGTGCACAATAATACTTGACAGAATAGCCCCATTGGGGTGTCTGCCAAATAGGAGGAGGTCTTGTTCTGACAAGAAAGATATTCTTGTTCTGGGAGAACATTGAATCCTTTATTGCTTCATGTAAATTTGGATTACAAATCCTGCTGGAATTTCCTAGTAAAAATAGAAATGAAACACATGCAACAAAATAATGAAAACTCAGAAGGAATGAAACTGAAACCTGTTTTCAAGAAGCTTATCAATAGGAACAATAGAATAATAACAATAGCTGGCAATTGTGTAGCAATTACAGTGAGTCAGAGAATGGTCTAAGCATTTCAGATATGAGAAGGAGTTTAATCAGAAGATCTGCTGAGAATGGGACAAATATTTCCCTCAGTTTATGGAATACAAAGCTGAGCCACAGAGTTCACGGAATGAGTCCAAGGCACTGAAGGTGATAAGGTCATGTTGGCCTCAGGCATGCCCAACCTTTTAACACTGCAACACTATGTTATCATCTATAAAATTATGTTTGAGAACTGCACAGTCAAGTTACAAGAAAGTAGCTAAAGAATTTTATAATGTGCTAAGTAAATTTATAATTGTGTGTAGGACCACATTCACAGCTATGCTCAGCCACATACAGCAGCCTGCAGCATGCAACTTGCATGACGGCTTTACAATTTCAGCCTACACCGTCTTTCTGGAATTGGATGTATTTCCACACATTAACACACCAGCTGAAATATGTATGATTGTACATTTGCACACACAAGGATCTATCTCTGCATATAGTGTACATACATATACATGCACATACTTGTAGGATGCCATATAGAGTTGTTAAAGACCATGAGTACCCACTGTGTGTCTGCTCTGAGTGTGATCTTTGTTAGGATTAATGGCTAGGAGGCTACGAGTGCTCCACTTAAACTTCTGTACCCCAGTTTCCCGTATGGAACTGAGTAATTTGTTTTCTTGAAATCATTAAGGCACAGTACCTGGAGGTAAACAGTCCTTCAATCAACTAGCGTGGTGGTATCTGTATCCCCCAATAAAGTTTATCTGAGGAACAGAGGAAAAAGCCAGCCACTATATTAGACATGAAAGTCAGGCAATGGTAGCACACTCCTTTAATCTGTCTGGATCTCTGTGAGTTTAAGGCCACACTAGGAACAGAGCCAGGCGTGGTGGCACACGCCTTAAATTCCAACACTAGTTAACCATAAAGGTCTGGAGGTCTGTACAGACAGACAGGAAGTAACTGAGCTGGGAAGGAAGAGGAAGTGATGTAGCTGGGTAGAGAGAGGAAATGAGTTAACAGAACAGAAAGGAATATAGGCATGGGTATACAGGCAGTAGGTCTCTTTGGAAGCTAAGGTTTGGTAAGGTGAGGTTGGCTTTGGCTTGTCCTATTCCTTTGATCTTTCAGAATTTATGCCAATATCTAGCTCTGGGTTTTTTATTAATAAGACTGTTTAGCAATTCGTCTTACAAACTGGTACTCATAATATCTTGTTATTATAATAGTTTGCTAATGGTGACTATTGTTACACGGGGTTATTGAGTATTTTTAAGCTTTCCTGTGCAAATAACCTTGCATGTTCCTTTCTCTTTGTACTTCTAGTCTCCTACAGGTCTGCAATTGGGGTCTCAGATCTTACTGTTTGAGGCCCCTCGTGAATTTTCTGTTGTTACCTATTTGTAATTCATTTCTAAAGCCTGAGGTCAGCAGTGAAACCTATTCCTTACCACCCTTTCTGAAGGGATGATACATATTTTGCTTTTATTTTCCCCATATGGCCTGCACAACCCAGAATCTGGCTGATAAAGATGGAGGCTAGTAGAGGTGTTGTGGGAGCCTATTCAGTCAACCTCCATCTCACAGAACCCCACACTTTCTGTTTTTTTCTGGAATTAGAAATATTTTTTAAAGTAATTTTCATTGTGATGCCATCATGGGAAAGAGAAGAAAAAGAGAACCAGTTAAACCAGTTAAAAGACTTCTTGTTCTTAACAGTGAATTAGAATTTTCAAAGCAGAGAATGACCTTTATGGCCCTTGACTTTTTGACTTTCCATTTTTTTTTTTTTACAAATCTGTAGGACATTTTTCTTAATTAATAATTGATGTGAGAGAGCCCAGTACACTAGGGGCAAAATCACTAATGGGCAAATAAGTGATCCTGGGTTGTCAATGGAATTGTGTGGAACAGGCCAGGGGGAGAAAGACAGTAAGCAGCATTCATTCCTCCATGGTCTGTGTGTCAGTTCCTGCCCTGACTTCTTGCTAAACTGAGATGTGGAAGTTGAAGGGAAATAAACCCTTTCTTCTCAAGTTGCTTTTTGTCATGGTGCTTTATCGTGACAGGAAGAAACCCTCAGAGACAGCTGATCGGAGCTAGATGGAGCTTACTGACTCTGGACTGAGAGCTGGGGAACCTGCATGGGACTAAACTAGGCCCTCTTAATGTGACTGACAGTTGTGTGGCTTGGGCAGTTTGTGGGGCCAACTGGGATTTATCCCTAGTGCATGAGCTGGCTTTTTGGAGCCCATTCCCTGTGGAGGGAGGTATACCTTGGTCAGCCTCCATACAGGGGGAGGGGGCTTGGTTCTGCCTCAACTTGATATGTCAGACTTTGTTGACTCCTTATGGGAGGCCATACCCTCTCTGAGGAGTGGATGGGGGCATGGGGTGGGAGGAAGGTGGGGGTGAACAGGATGGGGAGAGGAAGGGGGAACTGTGGTTGGTATAAAATAAAAAAAAATTAATTAAAAAAGAAAATGTAAATAAATAATAAATAAAATTTAAATAAAAGAAGCCCTAACTAAGCCACTGTTCTTATGCAGTGTTTTAAAGCAATTCTTCTAACAGAGCTGCGATCTGAAATGGTATTGGGTTTGTGGGATCTCTGAACCAGCAGTTGCCTCTAAGCACTTGAGAGCCATGTTTCTATCTCCATCTCACCATCTCTCAGTGTTTCTGAGTGCAAATATGGTTCAACTGACTATAAAGAGCAAATGATTTCTTGAAAGTCTCTTATAATCTGCTCCTTATTAAGTGCTTTCTCCCTTCAACTTCTAGAGAGTGTACATTTGTTCTTCATTCTATTAAAGTCTTCTTTACATCAGATCCAGCTATCTATTCATCCATCTCCCACCTACCTGTCATCTATCATCTATATCCATCCACCTGCCCATAAACTGCCATCTCCTATCAATCATCTCTGTATTTTCCACTAGTGTATGGTTGTCTGGAGGGGGTCAAGGACTCTTCTTTCTCTTCATCTGCTCTCTTCCACCTGCTCTCACTCAATTCATCTTCCCCCTCTTCATTGCCATCATAATCTTCTACCACTTCTTTGTTTTCTGATTCACAGGTACTAACACTGTATTTTATAGAGTGGAGCTTAACATGCTTTTTTTGCTTTGGTTGCTTTAAATTGAAATCATCAAGCTCTGAGAATAACTACTTAACCTTTCACTGCATACAGTTGTGCTTGGCCGTCCCAGCTCTCATCTCCTCCACAGAAGACTTTGTACAGCACTTGTAGAAGTACAGTGCAAAGGCAGTATCCAAAGGATAGTTGGGAAATGATTAACTGGGGCAACATTGGTGGGGCATGGAGAGACAGGAGAACTTGCATGAAAGCATCTAAGCATGGAATTATGGTTTAGGGTGATGGAGTATCTTAGTCATGCACTGTGCATAGCCAAGTGTTTAGAAATGAAGTTAAAGAAAAATAGAGTATTCTTCTTGGAGTGACTATAGGGAAGAGAGTGATAAGGTTGGTGAATTTTAGTAAGGC